TTAATAATATTCGTCAAAGACGATATATTATCATGAGAATAAAACAAATTAGTATCATCGGCAAAAAGAAGAAAATCACCATGCTCAGTAACTTCACTAATATCATTAATATAAATAAGAAACAACAGAGGGCCAAGAATTGATCCTTGAGGTACCCCACATCGTACTTCTTTATACAAGGAGGAAACACCATTATATTCTACATATTCTAACCTATGGGATAAGTAACTTCGGAACCACTCAAGGACCACGCCTCGTATGGCATAATGCTCAAGTTTGGAAATTAATATTTCATGATCAACTGTGTCAAAAGCTTTAGATAAGTCAAGAAAAATACCAATATTGTGCTTATTAGCATCAATACCGGATGAGATTTTATCATAAAGATTTATAAGTGCGTGCGAAGTTGAGTAATTTTTCCTAAATCCATATTGGTTTTTAAATAAAATATTATTATCATTAATATACTTTAATAATCTATTGTAGACGACTTTTTCCATTACCTTAGAAAAGACTGGTAAGACCGAAACGGGTCTATAATTGGAAAACAAAAAATTATCACCAGTCTTAAATATCGGAACTATCCGAGCAATTTTCATTTCGTCTGGGACAATACCACTTATAATAGACGAATTCATAAGTTCGCACAATGGTTCTGAAATGAGATCAATAGAATTCTTAACTATCTTGATAGGAATGTTATCATAGCCTGGAGCTGCACCAGAACGAAATGAATTTACTATTTCAACAATTTCCTCTTTAGAAACTGAATTCAAAAATAGGGAATTTAAAAAATTTCCATTGAGATAAGAACAGGCAGTCCGTGAGGAATTAGGTATTTCTTTAGCCAAATTAAATCCAATATTAGTGAAATATTCGCAGAAGCGATTAGCAATAGCGGTTGGATCAGAAAAATCTTGATTATCACAAGAAAACATAGAAGGAAAGTTATTTCGAGATTTCTTTCTATTTGTCACCTCATTAAGTATCTGCCACGTTTGTTTGATGTTCGAGGTGGAATTTCTTAATTTATTTTCAAAATATAAACGTTTGGCTATCCGAATAGAGTGGTTGAGTTTATTTTTGTAATTTTTGTATATCGTATTATTTTCGCACGTAGGTTTCCGTAAATATTTCCTATAAAGATTATTTTTCTTTTTTATCGACTTTAAAAGTCCTTTGGTCATCCACGACTTACAAAGTTGATCTACTTTTTTGGTCTTTTTTTTCAAAGGGAAACATGAATTAAACACCCGAGAATATTCACGTAAAAATTCATTGTAAGAATTGTTTGGGTCGGTAGATCCACAGAATGTCATCCAGTTAACGTTTGCTAATTCAATACGAAGTTTTTGCAAATTTTCGTTATTATATTCCCGGTAAACCGCATATGAATTTTCATTCGCTTTGTTAAACTCGTCTTGAATATACAATAAACTAAAAACAGGTAGATGATCGGATATATCAGTGAAAATCAAGCCACTAAACAAGCAATTATCCAGGTCGTTAGTAAATATGTTATCAATTAATGTGGCATTAAATGAAGTAATTCTAGTGGGTCGTGTTATTAAAGGAAAAAACATATTAGAGTACTTAATATCTAGGAACTCATTAGTAAATTCATGATTTTTATAGTTCAATAAATTAATATTAAAATCACCCATTAGGTAACAAATTTTATTTTCTCTAGCAATTTTAGTGATTAAAGTATCGGTATTTTGAACGAAAGCATTAACATCACTAGCCGGGGGACGATAAACAACACCTATAACAATGTTTTTTCCCTTGGGTTTTAAAACTTCGATAAACAATGATTCGGCACATTCAATATCATCGTAACATAAATCACTTCGCAATTTGAAATTCAAATGATCAGAAAAATATAATCCGACACCACCACCTGTTCTATTATGACGGGGGTTATGAATAAATCTATAACCAGGTATATCCATTAAAGTTTCTGAGTCTTTAAGCCAAGTTTCAGAAAGTCCAATAAAAGTAAAATTAATATTAATTTTTAACAAAAGATTTGAAAAATTATCAAAATTTCGTTGCAAACTCCTAATATTTAGGTGTAAGAACGATAAACTATTAGAAATACCTTGAGAACGCAATTTTGCACTAAACCCATCCTCAGTATAGTAATCACAGTTGTGAGCGCCTGAATAGTAATTGAAATCTGGATCCAAACCACTACCGATTGTAAACTGATCAATAGTCTTATTAAACGAAGTATTTAACGGATTAAAAATCAAATTTGAAAGTCTGTTTTCATCGTAACTAACAGGGCCATTCTGTAATTCATAAATCATATGATCAAATTCTTCATCATTAAGACTATAAAAGGGTAATACACGGCAGTAAGAATCGAAGTTAAGTAATTATTTGACACACAACAGAAGTCACATAACTGGTGTAGGTAAATACTAATTCCTAGTGTCCAGTTTAAATTCGTCAAATTCTTTAATTGAGGAAAATGAATAAACTCTAGATTCCTGGCTATTATTTTTCCTTAAAAATACCTTTCCATTAGCTGTCCAAACAAATTTAAAGTTAAAGTCTCGCTTGAATGCTCTCACTGCTCGGAGCAGTGACCTACCCCTTTGTGTCAGGCTTTCATTTAAATAAATTTTGACGACTTCATTCAAACCCAAATCAAGCGAGGATTTATTCCGTAGATTGCTTTTTTTACTCAGCATCGCATTACGAATATCTCGTCTTGAGAACTTGACAATTATTGGAGCAATGAACCCTTCTCTTGCCGATAGTCGGTGACTTATAGAAATATCCGACTCTTTAATGTTCACACCTAACAATTGTCCAATTGCAATAATAATTTCGTTTGTATTTTCGCCAGTCGAAATTGGGACTCCATGTATTTCAAGCATATCTCTTCGAGTATATTCTCCGAGGCTTTCCAAATCGACGTCAAGTGTTGTAACATAACCCTCAAGGTTATCAATTCTCTTCTTAAATGACTCGTTTTGTGAACGTAACTCATGATTTTCAGCCTTCAAGATATCAACTGAATTAGCTAGCTCATCAAACTTAGAGCTAATGAATTCTTGACTGGCTTTAATATCATCCAAATCCGATTTAGTAGAAGTTGTAAACTTTTCGAACATTTCATTAATTGATTTAGTCTGTTGTTGTAGGCGTCTATCAAGAAACGATTCAAGATCACTTCGTACTTCATCATTTTGATCACTTGTATGGGAATCTTCTGCAATAACATCAGATTTGTCTTCAATTCTTGAAGCAGTCTTCTCAGTAGCAATATTTCTCTTTTTTGGTGGCATATTTCTTATCAAACGAATACAAATAATACAAATACAGCGGAGCAGAAAAGCACACGTCTGCTCGTCACGGCTCGCCGCGCTCATAGACTAATGAATGGTCACTAATTGATAAATGTACGACACCCAATTTTGCAATATTAGAGGGTGTATTAGTAAGACAAAGATCAATTAGAGTACTAGTTGTAGCAGTAATTCTGGTAGATTCATTTATCAACTGCTCTATGCCATAGATATCTAATATGTCGGTCAATTTATTACTGTTCAGTGATCTGGTTGTTGGCAAGAGATCTACATTTAGGTCACCAAGCAGGAAATACTCTAAATTCTCCGCATCAAATGAACCGATCATTTTTTCAAAATCACCGAAATGACTCGCAGGAGAGTCAGGTGGTCTGCACCAAGTACTAACCAAAATAGATTTTGATCTTGGTTTTTTTACTTCTACTATCAAATTTTCGAGAGTTTCCAAATGTAAATATGTCTTATTTTATAATTAATGTTAGACCGAATATAAATGCAAACGCCGCCACCATAACAGCCATTTACACTTCGGTCTCTTCGAACAATTTCAAAACCTGGTAGACAGACCTCCTGATTGGTAATTGTGGAATCAAGCTTGGTTTCGTTTATACATAATATGTCTATTTTAGTGCTACTTGTAAATATTCGTAATTCATCAATATGGGATAAGAGACTATTAATATTCAAACAAGCCATACCATGATGAGATGGTATTTTGTCTACGTTTATATATGGTAGGCTATTTCTATTAGAATAACTTGGTTTGTTTAAGTCACCCACTTTTGTTGGCATTTCTTCATCTAATCTAGATTGTTCGTCAGCATTATTACTTACGGACTCCCACATGGCTGTATCCTAACAATTCCTATCGTAAATATAGTTTGTAAAATTTCGTGCCATCATACTTGATCCCATTTTTTGAGGTGGATTCTACTCTGGTTTAATTGGTTAATTGTAATGTTAGTGTGGTCGATGAATTTCCAATGTTTCTGAATACAAGATTCCTTCAGCGCTGCGTTGACTTCATTGACTTTACGTGTTAGCATTTCGTCATCTGAACGCGTGACAAGGCCAGACACGACTAGCTCCGTCTCCGGGATTGATCTCTTTATTTTCTTCTGCGCAATGAGTGGAATTCTCACGACCCTTCAGGCTATTTGTGCCGACGTGTAGAATCAATTTGTCAGGTTTTTTTCTTAATACTGGCTTAGCATAGTCATCCATGTCTAGTGTGGTACATCCAGGGAAGGTCGAGACTTGAACTCTTGTGTTAGACTTTGACATCTTGTATCCATTGATGTGCTTTATCATGGAATCGCCTGCTATTATTACTTTAACAGGATTTTGATGATTCCCTTGAGTGTTCGGATATCCATCTTTTCTCCCTTGCCTGCTCATTTTTTTAACAGTAGCATTTGACTCATCAGCACAGGTTGTCTCGAGAGGACAATTTTCCTGCGTAGCAATTGTTGGTATTTCTTGTAGTTTGTGAGTCTGATCGTGTTTACGTTTCTTTTTCTTTTTATTTAATTCGACCCACTGGTTTCCCCCTTGATCATCCTCAGTATTTACATTTGACCGCAGAGAGTTGTCTTCCTGTATTATTCTTATTGCCGTTGTCAAGCTAGATTTTTTATTTTCGAGATGTTTTATTTTCGCTTGGAGATCTATTATTTTAGAATTGGCCACTTCTAACTCACTTTTTAGATAACTCTTTTCGCTTCGGCATGTGGCAGTCCTACATATCAAAGCAGTTTCATCAGCTTTGCGAACTTCAATTCGATTTTTCAATAGTTTTAAGTCATGTTCGATACGCTTGAATTGAACCGCTAACTCACTGCAGTGGCATTGTGAATTTATAATTTTACCAGAATCGCAACCGTATTTAGTCGATTTCATCTCGATTTCTGAATTATCTAAGTCTTCCCGGTATTCTGTGGCATGTGTAGGTATAGATGTCTTTTTAGTCGATATGTTCTCACCAGTTTTGTCCATACCCAATGTATCTTCGGCTTCCGCGTGTTGCTCGTCGCTATGACCTTTGAATTCGCCTTCGATCAATGTGGCAAAAGTTTTAAATTTCTCGGCGAGGCTTTGTTCCTTGTTATCTTTAAGAAGCACGATCCTCTTATTTCTTCCATACCATTTTATTACATAATTCTTGCTAGTAAAGAGCTTTACTTCTTACTTAAGTCCACTTGCCTTGAAGATTTAGGTCGGTTTGTACAAAGATTTTTAAGCTTTTCTGTAGAGCCTTTCCAGGCAAATTCATTGCCTGTGTTTATAAGATTGGTTATCTTAGACGGTGTTGATGTTCTTAAGGAATTTTCTTTATGTGAACTCTGAGGAAATGTGAAATAATCCTCAATAATTATTGAGCTATCCATCGCACGTCTATCCGCCATGACAGTCGCAATTCAAATCAATTCATAAGGACTATTGTGTAGCAATGTTATTTATATGCTCACATGAAAAAGATAAGATATACTTTGAATATTTATGCATGAGATGATCAGTTAGTCATCCATATACACCACATGATTGTCAGACAGTATAAAAGTAGCACAGAATCGGATCTTTTGAGCATTTGCCACCGAAAAAGAAGGATGGCGCTGAAATTTTTTGGCTGTCCAAGTCATACGTGTCTCAGCCGAGCCCAGCCTTGGGAATTTAACGAAATGCCTTGCTTACACAGAAGCACCATTTGACTTGTCATGGTATGTCGAGCATGATGCGAGTTAATCGGAATCAGGAATCGGTTTGTTGTCTACCGAATTTAAGTGGGTCCTTCCCCGTGAGTTCCGAGCCTATTAAGTTTTCTCTGGTATCACATACAATTTGTTACAACAGCATTTATATTACACATCGCCTTGCGACCACCGCAAATTTTGCAAGCAGATAAAGCTCTATAATAGTCTAATTGTTAACGTTCCACCTGTACTTTTCCGCATCTGCATGCATGTGTTCGTATTTTCCACAAATTTTCTTTGGTACAGGTTTTTTTAAGTCGATCATACCTGTTGTATTACTTGTCAAGTTTCACTGGCACTTAGTTGTATTTTGCTTCTTCATTTCTATTTAAACGGATCCGTATTAATATGGCATTTTAGTGAGTTCAAATGCACCAAACCCTAATGCTGTCCATGGCATATATTTGGTTCTCTCGCGGGGTTTCAGCGTTTCCTAATGTGCGGTCTGGCGAGG